GGATGGGTTAGCCTGGTGATGGGTATTAAAGAGGGCACATACTGAATGGAGCACTGGGTGTTATACACAAATAGTGAATCATGGAACACTACATCAAAAACTAATGATGTAATGTATGGTGATTGACATAACACAATAAAATTTTTAAAAAAATATTAAGAAAAAAAAAAGAAAAGGAACAACAAGGGGCGCCTGGATGGCTCAGTCAGTTAAGCTTCCAACTCTTGATTTCAACTCAGGTCTTGATCTCATGGATTGTGAGATCGAGCCCCACGTTGGGCTCCATGTTCAGCAGGAGTCTTCTTGAAGATTCTCTCCCTCTGTCCCTCCCCCCACTCTCTTGAGCATGCTCTCTCTCTTTCTCTCTCTTCCAACTAAATAAATAAATCTTTTTTTAAAAAAGGAAAAGGAACAACAAAACTGAAAATTCTAAATTAGATGTGAAGGTGAATATTCATTTATTCAGAAGGAGAAAAGAAATCACAACAAATCTCAAATTTAAAAAAGGTGACAAATATCACAAACATGACAACTTCCAGAAAAATATTTAACCTACTGCCCAGTACATCTCCATAATAATTTTCCCTACAGTTTTGGCTCCATACTCTTTGATCAACTCTTCGTATGGTAGTAGTTTTATAACATTTTCTCTAGATAAAACAGAAAGATAATTCAGTCTTAATCTAAGACTGTTCGTTGATTTTTTCAGCTTTACAAACTTTTATTGATAATATCTTACACATTTTCCAAGTTGTTGTCAAATTCAGTGGGAAACCACTCTAAGATTTCTTTCATATATGAGTTTCTATAGGCATACTCACTGTTTGTAATACTATTACAAGTTTGTGCTCTACAAACATAAGAATTTGGATAAATTGTCTTTTGTTTAATTCCCATTATAAAAGAAAAGATGCCTGGTGCAATTATAATTTTCAATGCTATCAAGTAAATTTCCTCCAGGAGATAACTTCTCTGTTGACCAGGCATCAGTGAGACCCAGTCTTGTGTTTATAAGTTCACATGTCTGATGACTGAAAGAGTTCTCCACAGACTAGTTTCTGGCACATAAATCTTGTTTTCTCTCCACTATCTACATATACCTAGTTTTGGAAACAGTAGGATATACCTTATATTGTGAAACCATCTCTGACCTGATACCTTCATGTCTCAATGTCTGACTGAGTTCCCACTGTCGATGGTAAAAATATTTCTGAGAGCCATTACTACATGTGCCTGGCTACCAATTGCTTAACTATACACTAAAGTGACCTCAAGCCACATAAATATATCTCAGGTCCACACAACCCCACTCAATTTCCCTTCAGTCAGACTCCCACACATGTTTGTGGTCACTCCAATGACTCTCAACATAATAAGATGTAGTGGGAGTTTGATTGGAAGGAGATAATTTTAGTTAAAATGTCTTCCTTTTGAAAATTTCACAAAAACATATAACCATGTGAGCTGCTGGGAGTGGGGCCTGTGCACCTGATGAGCCCTGAGTTTTCAGCTTTGATGGTTTTATAGTCACGCTAAAATGGTCCATGTAATGGTATTGCTCTCTTCATAGGTTCACTCTCTGTGACCTTGGGATCTTTATTGAGACTTAGGCATCCACTAACACTGAACTCCAAGTGGAGAATGT